ATAGTAGAGTATATTTTATAATACAAACCACCCTTTTATTTTCATGAACTCTTTGAGTAAAACTAATAAATACTAAATTAGATTTTTTTTGCTTTTCAAAAAGTATGCCTTAAATTATATATAATTTTAAATGAATAAATAACTTACTTATTTGCATTACAAAACTAAATATTTACTATATAAATATTTTAAATCAATTAACACCTTTGTTTTCAATTCTATTATACTTTAACTTTAATTACGTAACCGTATACCGGCAATAACAAAATGAAAATGAAATAAAATCTAAAAATAATTTTTAAAGAATTTTTTATTTAAGGTTTCTTAAAGAAAAATTTGTTAGAAATTCAATTATATTTCAGGAAAAAGTTTTGTTTTCTTTTGTAATTATCAAGAGTTGCAATGTTTGAGACAATTGTGACAATTGATATATTGATCTCTCTCTCTCTCTCTCTCTCTCTCTCTCTCTCTCTCTCAGTCTATTATATAAAATGGTTTTCACAAGGAATTTGTTTTGTCGTTTAGTTTTAGTTTTTTTCTAATAAAAAGCAATGTTTTAGGCGCTGAGTTGTGTTCATTGATTGTAAATTAGAGTTTTCGCCCTAAGATTAAGTAAATATTCACATAAACGAGAGACACAAATGTCTGACACGAGTATTTGAGAATTAAATTTGATTAAAAATTGAAAGCTTGTTTTTATTTCGATAATACACTTCCACTTCATTTCATTTCGTGTGCCATTTTGAGTGCTTTTTAAATAAAAAACACTCTTTTTATCGATTCTTGTTTTAATCCATTTTATAAAAAGATGTAATAATTAATAAAAAGAATTTATCAAAGAATAGGAAATTTATTTTTAATATCTTTCTAACTATTCTTAATATAATTTATATGAATACAGCCAACATTAGGAAACAAGAAACACCACATTTTCTGACAACATTTAATGACAAATGAGTTTCATATTTGTATTTAGACAAAAATGTTAATATGTTTACAAATTTCTTAAATTCCTTTATAATAACAAATAATGAAGTATTGATATAATGATCATTTGACACAAAAAAACGTAAAGATTGAAACATTCTTGCAACGAAAGGGTCTATAAAAAGCATTTGATAATTACTTATTGATTGCTATTATTAAACGATTAGTTGAATATAAAAGTGAATATCGAATAATTAAATGAATGTGAATTTAAAGCTGATAATAAAAATGGTAAACAAAATGAGATTTAATGAAATTATGGGGCAATGAGTGTTAAACATGAAGATTAGACAATGAGTTGGGGGGCGGAGAAGAGGCAGAGGGCGGTCGAGATGAGTGTGAATAGCGTGAAGACAATGAGACAGAGCCGGTCCAACACCGTTGCGGCGAACTTCCATTCGGCGATCAGTTCGTTGATGTCGTCCTGTCTTCTCATGCGATTCGTTATGAACTTCATCTCAAACAGGATTTCTTTGATTTTCTTGTGCCGAGCGCTCGATGGGCTCAGACGGCCGAAGGTATGAGTGGTCGGCGGCGGCGACTCATTGGCGTAATCGCCGCCAATCGCCTCATTGTCTGCGAACCGATTACGACTGAAGTTGTGTTCAATGTTTTGATCCCTAATATGATTGCAATGATTGCTAGTCCTATGGGTTAAGGCATTTGTTTGGCATTTCTTATTCATCGCCACATTTGTTGCGTCCATCGCTTTGCAGTCGTCTTCAGTCGTCCATATATTCTCGAATTGAGCCATACTTTTGGCAAACATTTCCAAATCCTTGTCGTCTTTCGCTTTCGATTCATTCACTCCATAATTAATGGCTTTATTTCGAGCAACAGATCCGGCGATACGTCGGGGAGGCTTAATGCCATGCCTTTCCATCCGCAATATCCACGGCAACCACTCCAACATTATTGCTCTCATCTGTCAATCAATTCGCGGGTTTTCACGCAATTTTAAACAACGGTTTCGCAAAACAGTATTTTAATTAATTTATCAAGAATTGACAGTATATTTAATCAATTAGTGTATATATACTTATATACTGTACATACCATACAACCCATTTCATGGGTGGCATGTGTCCTGTGATGGAAGTTGAGGACCACGACAGTCATGACCACCGAGAAGGCAACCATCACCATAATTGATGCAAAATATGCCGCTTTTCATTGTAATATACATACAGTTCATTAATATTTCTTGTATTAATTAGTATATAAATTGCTTGTATTTACCGATTATTGATATGGATTCGGATGTAGCTGCAAATTGATTAAATTTTTTATTAAAAATTTATTTTAAAAATAGATTTAAATTAATGTAAAATATTTATAGTTAAATAATAATACCGTAATAATCTTATCTGAAACTTTCGTATTTAGAGAGTTATAAAATTAATTAAGATTCAAGAGTTTAATTTTGTTATAAAAATTGAGATTAATTTGTTTGGCTGGGTTAACTATGTTATACTATTTCTCATATTATAATTTTGTCCCAAGTGTTCACTTATCAAAAAAGCATTTATAGTGATAATAGTATTAATGAGATAATTAAAAAGATTTGTTGCAAATTGTATAATTGATGAGTCCGATAAAAGACTTATTTTATATTAAAACTTAATTTTAAGAAAATTAATATTTGATTTAATTAAATATTATATAAACATATTTAAATTTTATGTATTATTTAATTCGTCAAGTTTCTCAAATCATAGAATAAACAGTTTAATAATCAAGTTAAATTTACCAGGAAGTATCTTTCCCAATTGTACTAAGAATACCTGTTAATTTCAATTAAGTTTAGTTTATTAAGTTTTTGTGTGAAAGTGATTTATAAAACAAAGGGAATTACAGTCATCGACAATAGTATAGTGACTCCTAATTGAAGTTTCTCTCCAGAATCGGGCGGTAATGAAAATCCGAGTAAAGTCATGGACGACAAGATAATGCAAGGAATTATTAAATTGAATCCATAATAAAGAGTTCTTCGTTTGATATGAATGACGAATGTGATGTCCACGTACGGCTCCGGACTAGTCGTATGAATTTGAAACAATTTGCAAACAATTTGTCAGAAATAGAGTCAACAGAACATCAGTACAGAAGAGGGCCATTCAATAAGTAGGTACGCAATATTTTACCCAAAAATTGGTCCCATGCCCCACCCGTGCGTACATACTTATGGCCCCTAATAGTATTATACCAGCAGTCGTAATACAACAAGGTCCTCTTGGCAGGTGCACCTATAGGTTAGCATTTCATTAACAAATGACAGCCTATTCTTAATATTAATAAATGATTGTCCAGTCTTACCGACTAATACCCACTCGCCGTTTGGCAGGAAAGGTGTCAGATCTCCGCCCTCTTCTTTGCCCTCTTCGCCGGACAGCTGCAGATCTAATGAGAAGCCGTCGTATCTGAAGTGATGTAAGAGATATAAAAAGCCATTTGTGTTACTCTCGTATATATATATTTTTGACATTACTGTACATTCAAATGTGTTCAATGTTTAAGGATAACAAAAAAGTGAGATCAAGTGAAAGTCAATTTAAGCTAAAAGTATAAACTATTGAAGCATACGATATGCGATTGAAATGCATCGGTATGTTATGTCTTGATATATAGAAATGCAATACAAATATTGATATAGTGTATGGATAATGCATATTAAAAAGGAAATGGATGCACACATACGTCCAACTGCCGAATTTCATTTTACATCTCTGGTCATCAAATGGAAACCAAGTAATGTCTATCTGACAGGTGCTCTTAAATACCCCTGGTGGCACGAACAGACACGTCCCGTTATTGTTAACCACTACGTTGGTTGGAAATTTACTGTCAAACTTCTCATCGGCACTAGAATTCAACATGATCATATTTTACATTCAATTTTGTGGTTTTGTTTTTACGATATTCATTTGAACATTATACATAACTTAATGTAATATCAATATTACTGCTAATTGAATTGTCTATATTTATAGCTAATCTAATAATTGAAAATAATTTCATTGTCTTAGTGTTGACTCTTACGGCGATTGAGTTGTGTATCAGGTTTTATGCATTAGATATAAATGAAGCAAACATTAAATAAATGACTTATTTTGCAATATGTTTTCATATCATTTATTTTATCTCTTATTCTTTATTTTGGGGTAAATGTTGGTTTCAAGTCTGGTTAGGGTTTTAATAACATAAACGCTTTAATGCTGTTTTGGTTACTGCAGTAAGTCTTAAAAGAGATTTAAATTAGAGTTAGATTCTTAATTTGTTCATTAGATTTGTGTTTCAGTCAAAATCAATTATCATAGTATATTACTGTATACTGTATAAATGAAACTTCACTTGGTATATCATATTTTATTTTTTACAAAAATTGTCAAGATAAAATCTAATTAATTTTTTAGCCGGCTACATTAAAAGTATTTAACATAATCCTTTCCTTACATCCATATCATTCATTAAAAAATAATTGAGTAATTAAATGAAATTAGTTAACAGAAAATATTATATGATATTACTGTATACTGATAAACAGGTACTAAACCTAAAATACATGAGAAACTTAATTATTAATAATTCTACGTAAAATTGCCTGAAACAATATTTATTGCTGTGAATTAATAATTATATAAATAATAAAATGTTTGCACAAACCTGTTATACATTAATATATCGGGAATCCATATCTTTTTCGTAGGAATCCTCAAGTCTTTGACTCCCCCATAGTCTGAGACATTC